TTTTTTTTAGCCAGGATGGTCTTGATCTCCTGACCTCGTGATCCACCTGCCTCGGCCTCCCAAAGTGCTGGGATTACAGGCATGAGCCACCACGCCTGGCCTCTAATAACTAATTTTTATAACAGAAGTCAGCATGCTCAGATGACTACAACAGCAAAACAAATCTGTATTTACCTTTGTTTTTGTTTTGTTTTGCTTTTGAGATGGGGTCTCTATCACCCAGGCTGGTGCACAATCATAGCTTACTCATTGTAGCCTCCAACTCCTGGGCTCAAGTGATCCTCCTGCCTCAGCCTCTGGAGTACTTAGGACTACAGGTATGCGCCACCACACCCAGCTATTTTCACTCTTTTGTAGTGAGAGTTGCCCAGGCTGGTCTTGAACTCCTGACCTCAAGTGATCCTCCCACCTCAGCCTCCCAAAGTGCTGGAATTACAAGTGTGAGCCACTGCACCCAGCCTATATTTACCTTTAACCTAGAATGGTACTAAATAATATAAGGTTAATTACGTTTATTTCAATATTAATACTTGACTGACAGCTGCTACAGAGATGACTGAAAGGATAAGCTACACAAAGAAAACATTTCTAAGAGCATAGTTACCAAAATTTTAATTGATGTAAGCTTCTTAGTAAATTCACCCAAATGCACACATATTTTAAAGCAGCAGCAACAGAACTGGAAAAACTCTACAGGTTTGTGTAATACACCCTCTTTGGCATCCACTTCCCCATTCCTTCAGTGCCAAAGCTCTGGTTCGAGTGCTGGCTGGGCTTGCCCCTCTTTGGCTCACCCTGCACAGTGCTGCAAAGCACCGCCTCTCCTCCTGCTTTTGAGCCCATCACTTTCCTCCACAGGGGCCAATGTTGCTACCTAAACAAACTTCTAAAGGGCCAAGCCAGGCATCCCAGTGCTTGAGTTTCAGGGCTCACTGGAATCCCACCTCAGTTTCTCATTACAGAACAAAGGGTGACCACTCTTGATACATTGCAACTGAAATGACTCTTCTGGAATGCTCATCTGACTGGGTCATTCTGCGAGCAGGAAAAACCCTTCAGCAAGTTACCATTGCCTTTCAGATGTTTAGGACCTAACCCTCCAGGATTCTCTTCTCTTCTAGTGGTTCCCTCAATGCCCAGCACCAACGCCATTAGCAGCCAGAGCAGCCAGTTTCCACTAACCCTTTCCCATAATTCTGATGAATGCATAAGTTAAACACTCAAGCTGGAGAAACTGGTGCCTGAGTACAAGGCCTGGAATGTGAAAACAAATACATTAAGACCTCACCTGGGCTTTCTCAGACCCTAACGTCTGATCGAAGGCATTCTTACACATACACCTTGTATCAGGGCCACTTACAATTAAAGAAATCTTTCCAAGGCTCTAGGGAAACTTTCCAGACCCCAGACCCTAAAGATTAGAGTGAATGCAACACTCCTGCTTGTAGGTGCGCACTCTCACGCAGGCACAGAGATGGAATCGAATGTAAATAAACACTGAAGAAAAACTTGTAACTTTGATTTGGTCTGGTGAGTCACTCCAATCATCTTCCTGCCACCAGTTGCAGAAATAAACTCCCTTCTTTCCCAGTCTGTCTGCATTTCATTATCAGACCGTGAGAAAAAGCAGCCAGATCTTGTCCATCCAGGAAGAAGGAGATTTATGTGAGGGGCCTGGGGCTCTTAGAGATGGGGCTTTTCTGAATGAGAATGCTGCTGCCAGTCACAAAGGGAAGATGCCTTTTTTTTCTTTTTTTAAAGCATATTACAAGGAATTAAGCACAGTTGCTTTTTACATGCTATTGCTAACTATGGAGAAGACATGTCCCATTTTTCCAGTCACTTAAGAGTGAGGACTAGTAACTGTGATTTAAATAAGCCAAGTAAACAACGCCCTGCCTAGGAAGAAACTTGTTCTTCCGCCTTTTTCCACCTTTGAGGAGACGCGGGGTTTTGCATGTTGGCCAGGCTGGTCTCTAACTCTTGGCCTCAAGTGATTCACCCGCCTTGGCCTCCCAAAGTGCTGGGGTTAGTTATGAGCCACCGTGCCCAGCCTCTTAATCTAAACTTTAAATTTTTTTCCTATGGCATATTCTTTCCTTGTTTGTTTTCCTTCTAAAAGGTTTCCTCTGGGTTTATAGGAAAGCTTACATAGGCAGTGTGAGTTTCTTCCAGGTAAGTAGTGAGAACACAGAGAAGAGACTTTGTTTCTTTGCTGCCGGGATATTTTGGTCTGTGTTTGGGCAGAGAGGATGTGTGTGGAACAGCCGTGGTGGGCCTCAGCGATGCTGGTGGGGGTCCAAGTGAAAGTGCCGCCTGCCCCCACTTCAGTTCCCAGTGTTTGCCTCAAGGCCAAGCAGTCACAGGGTGACCCTTTAATACCTGCTCCCCTGACAAGGGTTCTGAGCCTCATCTAACCTAGAGGTGGGGAGGGAGGCAGGATGTGATAGACATGATGGACACAGATTTCCCGACTCTTTTAATGGATCCACAGGTTTTAGAGAATGCACACTTCCAAAGGGGCTGAGCTCTGCCCCCATCTTGCTGATATCATTCGTGCTATTACGAATCAAACAGCAACAGGGCAAGATTAAACACACAGAGCATGACCACACGTTGGCACAATCAAGGTCTCTTATTCCCTCCATGACATTCATGTCCAACCACAACCATTTTTGTGCCTTCTGTATGTGTCCTGATTCTCTCCTTCAGAGCATCTACAAAAAGTAAAACCGTCGAGTCAGCATCATTTTTAGTCCTTAAGAAACATGCTTTAAAGTTTCCTATTTTCTTTTTTTTTAAGACGGAGTTTCGCTCTTGTGGCCCAGGCTGGAGTGCAATAGCCCAATCTTGGCTCACTGCAACCTCCGCCTCCTGGGTTCATGCGATTCTCCCGTCTCAGCCTCCCAAATAGCTGGGATTACAGGCGCATGCCACCAGGTCTGGCTAATTTTTGTATTTTTAGTAGAGATGGGGTTTCATCACATTGGTCAGGCTGGTCTCAAACTCCTGACCTCAGGTGATCCGCCCGCCTCGGCCTCCCAAAGTGCTGGGATTATTGGCATGAGCCACCACGCCCGGCCTTAAAGTTTCTTATTTTCAATGAAAATCAAGTCCCTTCTTTTCACTTTTTATAAAAGGGAGCAGTAGTTTTCCTCCCATTTTTGTATGATGAAAGCCACCACAAGCAAAGTCAGGAGAGCCACGTTAAGAAACAGGAGTGGGTGTTATAAGAAGCCCAGCATCTTAGATTTTGCTCTTGCAATTACGTAACAGAAACCATGCCTTATACAACCCATGAGACTAAAACAAACTTTTTTCTCTGAGTTTTTCTCCTCTTTTATATCATATTTCCACGAATCCTCTCAGATCAGCCTTCCTCTTCAAGCCTAGAAAAATTCCAGTAGCACCTCAACGCGCCCGCCCGCTTCTGCCAATCTACTGGGCTTCCTCTTAAGACAGAAAAACCCATGCCAGAAACTCCTCTGGGTGCCCGCGGCTAAAATAACTTGACACCAGTGTGTTTCGTTCCAACTTGGCGAGGGTGCTGCGGGACCCGAGCGCTCTGGCCAAGGCCAGCCCCTCAGTCGTGCGCTTACCCAGCCGGGGTGAGGC